AGACTGAAACTGCATACACAGAAACCTCATCTCAAGGTCTTCTAGTAAGTGGAAAGTTGTAGAAGCAATGGCAGAGGTGACAAACTACCAGTCAAGTCAGAAAAGAAATGTTCTCTTTGAGCTAAAGATGAATACACAGGTCAGACTAATCTAGCTAATTCTATATTACCAATTACATTTAAGGTTTTGCTTACAGGAAATGTTTTGTCAGACAGAGATACTTTCAAATACAAGTGATGCACTTTCCTTATTACTTTACTATCTGCATTGACAAGACTTTAAGGCCAGTGGACTTTATTTAATGTGTTGAAGGAAGTTATTTGGCTATCAGAGTTTTACAGCTTTATTTTCAATGGACTCAATTATGCACTGAATCAACATCAGCCTCCTTTTATTGAGTGCTTACTTGATGCCAAGAAATTTAACTAACAATTTATTTTGCTAACACTTGAACAGGACCATGTACCAGATGCAGTTTTAAGCACTCTGCAAATATTAATTCAAGTAACAACCACCATGAGATATGAACCTGTGCCATTCCCCTTTTATAGATAAGAAACTGAGAACAGGGACTTGAGAAAATATCTTCAAGGTTAGTAAGCTAGTAAGTGGCATGTCAGGATTCATTCCCAAGTCGCCTTCTTATTACCTACTATATGTATTACCTCCTTGTCTTAAACAATCATTAATCTCTCCACCCTGTCCTTGAAAAACAATAATTTCTAATGGACAGAACAGAAGCCCTGGCCTGGAGAAATTAATTAGCCTAGCCAAGGTGACAGATGCAAATGCCATCACCAGAGTCTGTACTGCACTGCCTGTTACCAGGCTCTCTCTGCACTCCACACTAAGTCTTGTTTGAACTGTGGTAATTTAAAAAAAAAAAAAAGATTTATTTTTATTTTTTTAAACTATTGCACATGTGTGCATGCCTGCGTGCATGTGTTGTGTGCAGTGCCTGCAGAGTTCAGAAGAGGGTGCTGCACCTCTCAGAACTGGTTATACATAGTTGTGAGTCACTTTGTGGGCACTGAGAACTGAACTTGCATCCCTAGAAGAACATTGTGAGCTCTTCACTGCTGAGCATCTCTTCAGCTGAGTTCTAGTTATTTCCTGAGAACGTCTTCTAAGTAATTATTATACCTCAATCACCAATTATTTATTATAAATTTTTCTCAAGATGTGAAAGTTAGAGAATAAAACTAAAGATAACCCACCTTAACTCATCAATAATCACTACAAGCTAAAACAGCCAAGATGTTGAGGCAGAAACACTGCTGCAAGAATGGGACCTCCTGAAATGTCCTAAGTTCCTATTTCATGAAGGGTGGAGGCCTCATGATTGAGACAACCTGAACACCGCTGTGGGTGAACCCCTGGCTCTGCACTGTTGAGTTATTACAGCAAGAAACATAAGCTAAAAAATTAATCTCAGAGCCATGCTTCTATATTTATGAAAACTAACCAAGACTTATACTTCTATTTGTCTTTTAAATATAGGCACATTTTACATGAAAATCTGATTTTGATTTGCCTTTTCAGCTTCAATATAGGCAGCTTAAAGACAAGTTTTAGCAAATTAAAGAGATCTTAATAAGCAAAAGAAGCAAGAGAAAAGTTAATACCTGGGCAATAATCTGTCTTTTTTTTTTTTAACCTTTTGATTTCTTTATATGGAGCCCCACAGACCAAGTGTGGTAGATTTCTTTAAAAAGTCAAGAATTCCAAGATATCAAAAGGTTATGTTCTTACAGGTAAGCAAGGCCATGAGAAGCTATGAGTTCTATTGATAAAGAGCAAATATTTGGTGGGTGATCATGTAAAAGACAAGCTTCTAATCTGGCCTATACTTTCTGGTCTACCAGCTCCCTGCCAGTGACAGAGTAGTGCATCTGAGTCCTTACCAGAGAAACTTTTTCTACGATACATAGTAATACAGAGACCACATGTGGAGGATAAGACTGTTGTTGTCCAAGGCTGTGTAGTTTTGTGACAGGGTGTTGGTGGTGCACACCTTTAGTCCCAGCACTCAGGAGGCAGAGGCAGGTGGATTTCTATGAGTTCGAGGCCAGCCTGGTCTACAGAGTGAGGTCCAGGACAGGCTCCAAAGCAATACAGAGAAATCCTGTCTCGAAAAAACCAAAAGACTGTTGTTGTCCAGCCCTAAGTGGAACAGCTATACCACACCTCCTCCCTTCAAGGTTCATCCTGGAAGGGAGAGGGGATTGTAAGTGTCAGAGGTAGTGGATCTCTGCATCAAAACAGTACTTGCTGGACATGACAGTACTGTTACACACAAGAGCCACAGAGGCTATTCTTGCACAAGACCTGTACTTGATCAAGCCAGCCAAAATCCCAGCATGCACGGGGAGGGGATTCATGAAGTTCCACTACTAGCAGGAGGAGCTAGTCACAAGTGATGGTTGTCAGGGGATGGTAGAGTTAGTGTTCTTCAGTGATACACAGCCCCTGAAAGGCTATCATGTTCCAATAGAGGAGCCCATGTACACATAGGCAGCACTAGGTGCACTCAGTGAGGAAAAAACAACACATGAGATTGGGAGGGAAACATGAGTGGTAGATTTGATCAATATACATTATAAGTATTATGAAATTCTCAAACAGTTACAACCCCTACAGATACTTAAGAGAAATTCTTCAAACAAACAAACAAAACAAAAAAACAAAACAAAAAACCACACACACACACCTAAACTTTATAACACATGGAGTCCTTCATGATCCATCCTGATGGATCACCTGACCAGTTCAGGCTCTTTCCTATCCATTTTCACTGGCACGTGACACAGCTCCTGAGCCAGAGCCTCAAACTGCCTGAAGTGCTCTGGAGTTTGCAGACTAGTGGATAAGAAATTCACACAGTGATTCCACTTGAGGACTGATACACAAAGCTTGGGAAGAACAAATAAGCAGCCAGAGAGATCGAACTTTGAATTGTGGAGATGCTGCTGATTACCTGTGTTGCCTTAGCAAGTTATTTGACCTTTTTGCATTTAGTTTTCCCATTAAAAAACAGAACAAATAAACAAACAAAAACCCTGGTGACAGCTATGCAGCTTCCAAATGTGCTGTGAAAATTATTTGACTAAGAACTCAGCAGGGCACCTGAAAACAGCAAGGGCTGAATTCAATGGTATTTGTCACTATCTGAATCAAAGGGGACAATTCTAGATACCAGACATTTTACCTGTCTTCTATACAGTTAAGAAAGCCTTAAAGCTTCTTTATTCAAAAGCAAAAATAAGAACAGCAAACCCCAACAAAATACAAACTTAAATGCTATATTTATATGCTAACAACACTTGGTTATAACCTTGAGCAATAATCTGTATTGTGTATTTACAAAGTTTTTGGTGATTTACTTGGGACATTTACTTTTGTGTTCCGGTGGTGAGCACCTTGTAAATCTCAGAGTGCAAATGTAAAGTCTCATGCCTTCCTCTGCCTAACAAGAGTTCCAGGAGCCCTTGTGCTAATAAAGGGATACACAGGTGAAGTCATCCCCATCTCCACACATTTGCCAGTTTGCTGTTATGCAAAGTAAAATTTGCTATCCTAATCCCACTTCACTCAGATCCATAGTATAAACCTCAATAGCTCGGATGCCCATTAACTATAAAACAGACTCTCAAATCTGACAAGGCATTCAGGACTGCTCCTACTCTGCTGGCCCAAGCTGCTCCTCTACTGCTCCCATTACCCATACTAAGCTATGACTTTCACCATACCAGTCTCCATCTGCCTGACTATGGTATCTGTTTGCACTTTCAGTAAGCAGTTAACTCATCTCTCAAGCATAAGTTCAAACACTTCCTGATCTGAGACATTTCCCTGGCTCCTCAGGTTGACTGATGTTCTGTCACTTACATTTCTACTTAAGTTGGTACACAGTTACACTTTTTTATGTGGTGGTGGGAACCCAACCCAAGGCCTTACATATGCCAAGCAAATGCTGTCTTACAGAGTTCTACACATCCCCAGCTCTATACATACCATTTTTCTGTATATTTACAGCTGCAGGTATATTTGACAAACAAAAAACATACAATATTAAGATATATATATATATATACATATATATATATATATATATATATGCTATGAAATAATTTACACCTATCATATTATACCTAGCATAGCACAACACCTGGCATATATTTTACCACATATGAGTGAGTTTTGACTCTGTGAATTAAGAAATTCATATTGTCAACTTTAATCCCAGAATTTGGGAGACAGGGGCTGCTAGATCTCTGAGTTCAAGTACAGACTGCTTTATATAGTGAGTTCCAAACCCAAGGCTACATAGTAAGACACTATCTCAAAATTCCAATATTTTTAAAAAAAAAAAAACACCTCACATTATGAAATTAATTTTTTTAATAATTGGGTTGTATATAGTGATACATGCTTGTAATCTCAGAATTTGAAAAGCAAGAGTAGGAGGACTATAAGGTGGCTTGGGCACATAGTGTGCTTAAGGCCAGCCTGGGCTACATGAGGTCCTACTCTCCTCATACACACACAAAGAAAAGAACAGGAAAGAAGAAAACAACAGAACACACACACATACACAGAAACATATGTGTGTGATGGTTTCTGTGCATTGATCTCATTTTGTTTCCATCACTTCCTTTGCCTTTTCTGTTTGTATCCTCACTATAGCCACCAGCATTATGAGAGGAGCCAGTTAGAGCACCAGCAACCAGCACTCTTGCCCTCTCCAGCCCTTCAATCAGTCTCACATTTAACCAACAACCTATTCTACAGAACCTTCCAACAAATCTGGATGCATCTCAGACCCCTAAGCACAGTCCTGTATCTGTGTACATTAATAGTGAAGATACTTTCTTACAGTCACACACAGAACTAAGAGGCAAGCACATCTTGCTAAAACCTGACTCGCCTGCAGGGCTCCTCTCACATTCAAGACAATGGCTCTCTTCCGATCATTTCCCAGGCAGTTGTAATCCAGTTACCTGCTATTTTGATATTCATGTTGTTATCCAGCAGGAGATTTTCAGCCTTCAGGTCACGGTGCACAATCTTCCGGCCATGGCAATAATCAACAGCAGACAGAATTTGCCAGAATTTTCTCCTAGCTTCAGATTCATTTAACCGGCCATGATTAGCAAGATAATCTGTTAACGAAGAGAACATTTAGAATTATTCATTATAATAAAATAATTTCAACATAAGCAGTCAAGAAAATTTTTGACAGTTTTTTAATGAAAAATTAATGTTCTAATAACACAAATAATACGATTTTCAAGTTTCTTGCCTTTGGAGAAGTAACCCCAACTATATTTCACAGGTACTACATAAAGTCCAAGGGCCCAATATCAGATAACAGCAAGGGGTGACACAATATCCACACCACATCTCAAACTAAGTTTTATTTTATCTTCTTGCCTGTGTACTCTCTGCTAATTTGCTGAAAATATATTGTTCCTTCACATCATATTTAAATACATAAAACTCTTGCCAGGCAATATGAATGGATTTTCTGAGAAGGGACATCATAAGCAGTACTTCCATGTGAGATCTAGAAGTAGCTGCAATAATTCAAACTCTAGTCCATTGAAAGAAACAATTCTGATCTGCTCACGAACAGACACACTTGTTTTCTAAATCACAGCCATGATAAATGAATATACGCAACAGCTGTAAGACAGTATATTTTGCAGGATACATTAGGCTCTTTGTAGTGTTACAATATTTATTAAAGCAGGTTGACTGAAAATTAATTGTACACCAACTATATTCATGACATCAATAAAACTAAATGTATAATTTGACCTGATGAATGCTGTCTGTAATCTTTTTAGAAGGAGGAGATCAACATGAATCTTGAAAAAAATTATTTAAGGTAGTTTTCTTAAGTAAAGAATTATATTAGTGACTATGATTATTTTTCCTGGGATGAAACACTATGACCAAAAGCAACCTGGGGAAAAAGGGTTTATTTGGCTTACATATCCTGAATCATAGCCCACAGAGGGAAACCAAGGCAGGAATCAAATAGGGCAGGAACCTGGAGGCAGGAGCTGATGCAGAGGTCATGGGAGAGAGCTGCCTACTGGCTTGCAGGGTCTGCTTTCTTATAGCACCCAGAAACACCAAACCAGGGGAGGAAGCATCCAACTCCACCCCACCCCCACCCCATCACTAATTAAGAGAATGCTCTATAATCTTGTCTATAGCCAGGTCTTATGGTGGCAATTTTGCAGCTGAGGTTCCCTCCCCACAGATGACTGTAGCTCATGTCAACTTGACATAAATCTAGCCAGCACAGTAATCACATTCTGCCATTTTCACACATTTCTCTCTGCTCTAATCGCCACAGTTTATCTATTGGTTTTTTAAACTCATGCTTTGACCCATTACCTTCCAAATACTATGAGTGTTTCTTTTTAAAATGTATGTAAGACTTCACAGTTTACAAAGTATGTTGATACCATAGTATTTCAAATCCTACAAACTTTTATGATGTCTTTTTCTAATTTTCATATTATGGGTAAAAAGCTGAAGATAAAAAGAATACAGTAATTTAGCTGAATTAATATAATTTTTAAGTAAATTAGTTGGTAGGTTTAGAACATGGGACTGAATTATTTTATCATCTCTTATAGAATCTTACCGAAATCCTAACCATCCTTTTAGAATCTTGCTCAAGTGTCTCTTGACCCTTGGTAGTCTCGTATCATTTCAAGAAAAAGAATTTCTCTTCTCTGAATCTTAGTTACTGTTCTATTTTGCTGTGAAGAGACACCAAGAGCAAGGAAATTTATAAGAGAAAGTATTTAATTGGGAGCTTGATTATAGTTTTAGAGGGCTAGTTTGCTGGCATCTTGGTCTGTCTCAACTCTGCCTTTCTTTCAGTTTGGCTTTCCTGCCTTGTTATAGGCCAAAACAGCTTTTATTATCAACCAATGAGAGCAACATATACTCAAAGCATACAGAAGGGTTATCCCACCGCAGCATGTAGTTGCTATTTATTTATTATCATGTTCAGGTTTTCTTGTCTCTGGCCAGTGAAAAAATTCATCACACTGTCCATCTGCTCACCCAGGGATGGGGATCAACCTAAAGTTCAGGGCATCATGTGTGCCAGGCAAGTGACCTGCCATGCTATACTTTCCATCCCCACTTCACAGTAGCTTTTAACCCAACTACAGAAAAATCTACACCTTCACTGATTCCTGGCATAATAAAAATCATCCACATTTATCCTGAATATTTCCTGTCCTGAACCTCAGTCAGTCATTTTTTGAGAGGTGTGGAGTTTTTCCTGGGAAACTAGTAATGGCCAGTAATTACTTCCTTTACAGAGATGCAGCTAGAGAAAGTATTTTTTAAAATGTCATGGATTATTCTGTTTATTGCCATTTCAAAACTAATATTCTAGGAATTACATGTTTGACTTTTTATTTATTTTGGTTTTTTCAAGAGATGGTTTCTCTTTATAACCCTGGCTTTCCTGAGACTTGCTCTGTAGATCAGGCTGGCTCTGAACTCAAGAGAACCGCCTGCTTCTGCCTCCTGAGTGCTGGGATTGTAGACCTCCCTCATATTTAATATAATTGTGTAAAAACTGAGGGCTCAGGCAGGATGAACTGGCATTTACCTCTGTTCTCAGCTTTTGAAGGCAGGGTCAGGAAGATCAGGAAGTAAGTTCAAGGCCAGGCTTGGTTATATGAGACTCTGTCTCAACCTCAACGAACACTCTCCCAAAAACAAGGAGAGGGTTTTTCAGGATCTAGAGTTCAAAATCTGTCACAGTGCTGACCATGTGACCTTGAGCAAAACCCAATCCCTATCACACTCTATTTGCTAATCCAAAAAATGAGGATCATAGGAGAATTCTTACAAGGTTATATAAAGATTAAAAAACAACAACCTTCGATTCAAACAGAGAAAACCTTGGTATAGATTCTGATGCATAGAAGTCCTCACAAAAAGTATAACTCCAATGGCGACTTACAACTATTTTTGCTATTGCACTAACTACCAGTCTACCTTCCTTTTCTACCTCCCTTTTCTATCCATCTGCCTCCTGCGATATGGTTTCTATGCTTCACACCTCACTGAAATTGCTTTAAGGTCAAGGGCAACTTTCCTAGGTTAAACCCATTACCCTTTCTTAGTTCTCAACTTTTAAGACCTTTCACAATTATATTAACACTTAGCTAGTCTCCAACTTAAAATACCTCTGTCTACTGGCTCTGTGCTTACTTAGTTTTACTTGATTTTCTTTTCTTGTTCTTACTCTTTTTCAAAATTACAAAAAGCTACCACATTCTAATCTGGGTCTTCACTTCTTTTCCTCCTCCTCCTGCCTCTACCTTCTAAGTTCTGGGATTGCTTATTCTTTCTTCTTTAAAACAATGTTTTCAAGTCAAGGTTCATTCCAGTCTAGTATACTATTTTGGGATTTTTTCTTTAAGATTTATTTTTATTTTCTGTGTGTGTGCTCATGGAGGCCAGAAGAGTGTATTAAATACTCTAAAATTGAAATTATGGCTGTGAGCTCCCATGTGCGTGCTAGCAACTCCAAGCCAGGTCCTCTGCAAAAGCAGCAAGTGCTCTCAACTGTTGAGTCATCACTCTAGCCCCCAAGGGTTGCTTGTTTTTTTTTTTTTTTTTTTTTTTTTAAACTTTCTTTTTTGTTTTTTGAGACAGGATTTCTCTGTAGCTTTGGAACCTGTCCTGGAACTCGTTCTGTAGACCAAGCTGGCCTCAAACTCACAGATATCCACCTGCTTCTGCCTCTCAAGTGCTGGGATTAAAGGCATGTGCCATCACCACCTGGCTTGCATTATTTATTTATTTATTTAATTTTTTGCTTTATGAGTGCTCTGTCTGCATGTATAAATGTATGCCTGTATGCCAGAAGAGGGCATCAGATCCTATTACAGATGGTTGTGAGCTACCATGTGGTTACTGGGAATTGAACTCAGGAGCTCTGGAAGAGTAGCCATTGTACTTAACCACTGAGGCATCTCTCCAGCCCTGGGTTTTTGTTTTTTTAAAGACTTATTTTTATTACTTTTATTTACATGAATGTGTATATTTAGGCCACATGTGTGTGCCTGCTGTGACAAGAGGGCATTGAATCTGCTGGAGCTGGAGTCACCTTTGTGAACTACTTTGGTTGCTAGGAACTGAATTCAGGTCTTCTGGAAGCACTCTTAGCAGCTGAGTGATCTCTGTAGCCCCTGCTTTCCTTTTCTGTCTGTAGCCTTTCCTCACAGAACTAATCTAAACCACCACCTTTGTGTGGATCACCTTGGTCTGCATTATCCTTAACTGGACAATGTTAATAATTTTCTCCTTAATTCTTCACTCAGGTGTGCCTCTTAGTCACTGGTCTGGAACCTTTTGCTTATAGATCCTATGTAGAGTTGTGGTTTGAACCTATTTACTCATGTGTTTGAGTGCTTGGCCCATAGGGAGTGGCACTATTAGGAAGTGTGGCCTTCCTTGTTGGAGGAAGTGTCATTGTGGAGATGGGCTTTGAGGTCTCACATGCTCAAGCTAGGACCAGTGTGGCACATGGTTTCCTTCTGCTGCCTTCGGATCAGGACATAGAACTTTCAGCTTCTTCTCCAGCACCATTCTGCCTGTATGTTGCCATGTTTCCCGCCAAGACAATGATAAACTATAAGCCAGCCCCAATTAAATATTTTCCTTTATAAGAGTTGCCATGGTCAGCCTGGTGTTGGTGGTGCACACCTTTAGTCCCAGCATTTGGGAGGCCGAGGCAGGCGGATCCCTGTGAGTTGGAGGCCAGCCTAGTCTACAGAGTGAGTTCCAGGACTAGCTCCAAAGCAATACAGAGAAAACCTGTCTGGAAAAACCAAAAAAAAAAAAAAAAAAAAAGGTTGCCATGGTCATGGTGTCTCTTCACAGCATTAAAAACCCTAAGATAAGAATGTAATGGAAATCATACATGTATGAATCCACATACAAAATTTTGTATGTAATTTCAAGGGAATGCCTATAAATTCTTAGATTTAATACCAGTTTAAGAAACTCTGCCCTGTGATATTTTGTTTATCTCCTAGGGTCTTAATGATCTCCAGATTTGTCAAGTATGATTTTTCAACACTTACTTTGTTGAGTATCTACTAGCTAACCT